TATATATATATATATATATATATATATATTGTATAAGATATAAAGTGTTAGTGATAAATTATGTGAAATAGAATTGAAATTCAAATATTACATAAACAAAATAATATAAAATATATGAATAGTATTAAAGTATCATATAACATCAAGTTCAACTCTAAATTTTTTTTATTCTCAGTTGCCTATTCATCTACGTTATATATATATACATATTGTATAAGATATAAAGTGTTAGTGATAAATTATGTGAAATAGAATTGAAATTCAAATATTACATAAACAAAATAATATAAAATATATGAATAGTATTAAAGTATCATATAACATCAAGTTCAACTCTAAATTTTTTTTATTCTCAGTTGCCTATTCATCTACGTTTAATTCCTAAATAAAGCTGAAATAATTAGCAACAACTCCAATCATCTATACTATTATTACTAAGGAGATTTTTATTTGAGTCACCGTTATAACAAATTGGTCTCTTCCCTATCTCATCATGTAGAGTCAAATACCTCTCAATCTACTTCTTCATTTTTTAGATAATACTCCAAAATTTTAAAAGGATATGGTGGCGGCGTGCGGCTTTCTAGTGATAAGCAAGCAGCCTCTTTCAATATTATACTCAACATACTCTGCAGTAAATTTAGCTACATTTTTTAGAATGAATCCATGTCATTCATCTCCAACAAATCACCTCATCTCATTCATCAACTCATAACTAATTTCTGACTTGATACAGTTCTTGTCTAGAGCAACTTTGTGTATATACACTACTCATATATTATGTATTGTAATGGAAAAAAATGGAAAAATTATGCTGTAGTTTTCTATGTACTAATCTTAATTCTTCTGCTGTCTATTTTCTTTAGCATTGCTTTGTTTGTTATACTTACAGGTGACTATTCTTCTCTGTTACATTTGGCAAGCTTATGTTGGCCTTAACATAAAACCGCCTGCACCAATCTTTCTTCAACGGCTAAGCCGACAATGGCAAATAAATTACAGTGTATTTAGAACTCGGCCAAATCTAAAAATTTTCAAATACATCAAAATTAAACTAAATGATGAATACTAAGTACATTAAAATTTTACTCTGCATTTTTTTTTAATTCAAACCAAACACCAATATTTTCAAAATCCTTGCATTTGGAATACTTTATTCCCATTTTAACTCAAATCAAACACACCTTACTAAATCCTACTTGTAGCCCAACAACTCCAAAGTTGACTTTTGTGAAGATGACACTTTTTAGGCAGATAATGGGACAAACTTCCAATTGTTTTCATATTTTCATAGACGTAGGGTACATTGATTAAAATAAGAGAGAGAGTATTGTGAACCCACAGTATAAATTTGTAATGAATTAGTAATATTGTGAGTTCAAGATTAGCATTTAACTATTCTAGTAATTAGTGTTAATAATTAGAGGTGTCAATATTTGACACGACCCGAAAACCCGACTCGAACCGACCCGAAAATTTTGGGTTAGGATCAACCCGAACCCGAAACGGGTCGGGTTCGGGTTCAACATTTCAACCCATTTCAAAAATCAGGTCAGGTTCGGGTAAACCCTTTGACCCAAAATTGACCCGTTTTTTACCCGAAAACCCGATTTTGACCCGGCAATCCGAGATAGACCCATTTTTTACCTGAAAAGATGAGATAGACCCTTTTTTTACCCGAAAACTAGCAATTTTTTGTTAGAAATGGGTCATTTGGGTCGTGTCAGGTTGACCTGGACCCGAAGCGGGTCGGGTTCGGGTTGACCCGAATAGTGTCGGGACAGTTTCGGGTTCGACCCGAACCCGAACCCGTGACCCGAAATTGGCACCCCTATCTTAATAATGATGGTTAATTAGTGAGTTGGAATTATAAGTCTTTAAAAACCCCCCATTGGGAGGAAGATATATAAAAGAAATTAATGTACTTTTCCCTTCTATCTTTGTTTCTATTTTCTTTGAGAGTTTAAGCAGCTTGAAATGCTAATATAGGCCGGGGGTCCTATCATTAGTGCTTTAGTTGAGAAGATTTAACCAATTTTAAATTTTTAAAAATATTTATCACACTGTTTACTATGATTTATGTAAATTCAACGTCTACCTTGCCAAATAGTTTTTTGAATTTACTGCCTACCAAATTTACTAAATTTTGATGAGCAAATATTTTACTAAATCATAGCTGTAGCCAAAAAGCGTAAAAATTCATCTTTTGTTAAGATGGCCTCTCTCAAGCAGACAAGGAGACGCACTTCAAATATTGTTCATAAAAGTAGGGTACTTTGATTAAAATAAGAGAGGAGAGGCGGTGGGGGACCAAAAGCGATTACCTTGCTCCCCATCTGGAGAGAAAGTGGCCAACATACATGCGCCGTAGAAGAGAAGGATCAATGGCGGACTGCTGAGAAGATTCACCGAGAAGAAGTTGCTTTTCTTCCATAAAATGCTCCTCACTCTCTTCCCTTCTTTCTTCTCTCCCCTGGCTCAAATTGTTACTTGAACTTATTCCAACCAAACTGAACCCTCATGAGTGGCAACATAATACGCATTATGATCGCCATCGAAATCGATGACAAGCAGAAGAAAGACGAAGAAGAAAACACACTGAAAATAAAAAAGAAGAAACGATCTTTGTTACCTAATCGAGGAAGAGACTGCTCCGCAACTGAGAGACGACGCCATGGGAGCCAGAAGACGAGATTTTCCTAATTAAAAATTCAGCTAAATGATTGAACTGATTTCTGTTGCAACTTAGAGATCTTCGATTTAGGGGAGCTTAGGCTATCAATCAAATAGTCTTATATATACAATATGTATATAAATTTGTCTTAATTAAGTTAAACGTCTAAAAAATATATCTTCTTAACATAACCCATAATCCTCTTTAACCCAAACATTAAAAAAAATAAAATAATGACAAATATAATAATATTTTACTCATATGCTATGAAAAAACATTTCAGTTAATGAATCTGAGTTTGTAAGGGCAAATGTACAGCTGATGAATCTGAGTTTGTAACACCTAAGCATGACTTGTTTTGATCGCCTGAAAAACCAACCGAAGTTGGAGCTTCTTCATCAGGCATGAAAATTTTTGTAAATCGTTTTGGGAATAAAATGCAATCCCTGGTAATGCCAGCGTGATAAATGTGAATTCTCCGAAGCAGATTAACAAAAATTATTATGATAATGACCGTAGTTCTTATAAGGTTGATCAAGCTGTAGCAATTGAGATGGATTTTTTTGAACCATCAGGAACTGATGTGGAGATAGGAGGAAGTATGAAGAAAATGATTAACATTGATAAGAGTAATGAAATTACTGGAATGCAAAGTGAAATTATTTCTGCCTGGTCTAAACCGCAAAACATCAAATGCTCTTACATGAATGAACATCCGGAAATGTCAGAGGATGGAATTGTAGTGAAACTGAACTTTGAGCAGTGTAATAAGAATTCTCAAATTCTTCAGAATTCGCTTGTCATTAAAATCTTGGGAAAAAGTCCAGCCTTTCCTATCTGCAGCATGGAATTGAGTAGACATTGGAACAAATTTGGTATTGTACACATGACAACACTTGGTATGGTATGGATTTTATGCTCTTTTAAAAATCCTGATGCAATGGAAGAAGTTTTAAATGGTGGCCCATGGTATGTTGGAGGGAACATTGTCGGAATGCATAGATGGTCTCCTTCATTTGATCCTAACTCATTCAAGGGAATTACAGCACCTGTATGGATTCGGTTCCCATGTTTACCCCTTTTTTGTTGGGAAGAGGAGAATATTTCAAGAATAGCTTCCTTTGTTGGCAAACCATTATTTCTTAATGGAAATTCTTTCAAATGGGGAAAAAGAGAGTATGCTCGGATTTGTGTAAAAATAAACATGGAAAACAAGCTAATTAGGTAGATTTTATCAAAAGGTGGAGTATGAGAAGATTAATCTATTATGTTACCATTGTGGCAAAGTAGGTCATAATAGAGCTTATTGCCCGGATGATAAGGCAATTCCAAAGGAAATGCAACCTGTGAAGCTGTTAACTAAAGCTGGAAATGATGTCCAAGTGCCAATAGAGGCAAAGGATTCTGATGTTGGGAAATCAAAGTATGGCCCATGGATTCAAGTTAAATTCAAGAATAATAAATTCAGGAACGGAAGGTTCAATGGGGGATGCAAATATGTGAAAAGCAATCAAGGAATCCTTCATAAAGAATATAAAAGCAAAAATATTGAAGATGATGCAATAGAAACTATCAGCAATTCACATGTGGAAATTGTGTCTGAAAGAGCAGCTCCTGAGGTGATTGTAGATAAAGAAAGGTGTACAAATGTTGCTGAGATCAATGAAAACATTATGGAAAACAAGTTCAGTGTTCTAGCTGAGGAAATTGAAGAAGGTGAAATGGAGGTGCATATGCATAAAGAAATTATGAATAATAATAAAGTGGCAGCAGGTATTGCATTTCCTGAACAGAAGGATAGCTCAAGTGGCATGTCAATTCTAGTGAAAGGAAAAGATGATATTTTAAATGTTTTGGTCAAAAACAAATTATCAAAAGAAGTCAGGTCTTTGGGGTCGGTTGAAACTGAAAATAGAAAGAAAAGAGGAGAAGGAAGAGGAAGTAAAAAAGGCGGGGATGTATCCCCTTTGGTTACTTAAATGGCTTCCATTATGTTTAGGAATTATAGGGGGGCTAGGAAGATGGATGCCTCCTTGTACCTTAAAGAGCTTGTTAGAGATCATGATGTTTTCTTTATTGGCTTGACCGAAACAAAATTATCAAGTATGGATAGAAGTGAAGTGAATAACATTATTGGGATTGGCTGGGATTTTTTCCATCACCCAGCTCAGGGAAAATTTGGAGGAATTTTGGTTTTGTGGAAGAAGAATGTGGCTCATTCAATGTGATTGAACATTCTTCTCAAATGGTTTTTGGTTCACTCAGTACCATTTCTTTTGGTAAATGGAATATTGTAACTATATATGGGAGCAAGCATGTAAAATAGCATTCCTTCCATAATGGGGGGTAGAATTATGGGGAATATTATAAGAGAATAATGCAATTTCTGCAACATCGGCCATTCATCCATAATGCAATTTCTAGCCTTCCACTTATTATTGAAGAATTTAAAAAAAAAAAAAATCTTCAATTTGCTCAAACTCTTCTAGCACATTATTGTTATCATCTTTGATTTGTCTCACAATATTTCTATTCCTTCTAGCCGAGTTATAATTGTGAAAGAACCTTGAATTAGTGTCTCCTTCTTCAACCCATCTCACCTTAGCCCTTTAGTTCCACCAAGTTGACAATCTTCTTAGAGTGATGTTTAGCTCATGCACTTTACTTCGGAGAAGCAACAAATTGTCTGCATTATTTTCTGCATCCTACACTTCCTTCAATTATAATTCCAGAATTTCATTTTTTAATTTTTCTTTAAGCAAAAGCAAATCTTTACATTTATTCATGTTCCAAAAGAAGAGTGCTTTTAATGTTCTTCTCAGCTTTCTATGTAAGATATCAACATTATTGCCAAAATCATTTTTTTCCCAAGACTTCACCACTATGTTCCAGGCAACTCGGTAAGATCTCCAAGTATCTTCAAATTTTATATTTTTAACCCTGTTATGTTTCCTCTCTTCCAATCTGAAAATGATCGGGCTATGATTAGACACAATCCTCGCAAGGTGTCTAATTTTTGCTAGTGGGACCAGTTGCAATGAAGTTATGGAATCAAAAAGAATTGTGGGAATATTTTTAACCCTTGTTGAATCATGTCTTGGATAAATTAAATACTTGGGAAAGCAAATCCTTATCCATGGGAGGTAGAATTATCTTGGTAAAGTCAGTTTTATTATCCTTGACAAATTACTTGATGACTCATTCTATAATCCCAAAAAAATTATTACTTGAGCTAGACAAATATAGTAGAAATTTCATATGGCATAAACCGAATGGAAGAAGAGGTTTACACTATGTAGCATGGGATGAAATATGTAAACCCAAGAATGTAGGGGGTTGGGGGATTCATTTAGCAATCCAGAGGACAGGTCCCCTTAGAGCAAGGTTGGCATGGAATGTTATTAACAATCTGGATTCCTTATTACATATGAATTTGCTAATGACATATGGTAACAGTTTATTGAATGAAGATTGTAAGAAAAATGCTTCTAATAGTTGGCATATTATCAAACACGGAGGAAAACACAATAAGCCAATTATCAAATGAAAAGTATGTAATGGAAGGAAGATTAATGTTATGAATGACATATGGCTACTTGACAAATGTTTGAATATGTTGCCGACATTTGCTAATTGTTGTGAATTGGAAGGGATGATGCTAAATCGTTTTATAAATCTAGATGGGAGCTGGAATGAGGAGGAATTGAAACGATTCTTTCATCAGGAAATTATATGCTTAATTCTACAGATTGATGTTGAATCCAGCGGTGAGTAGGATAAGATGCAACATATGTTTCAACATTCAGGAAAAACAATTGCATCGTTGGCATATGCAAAATTGATGGAATCAGTTATCAAGGAAGATGATTTTAGCTTTTACGAATGGATTATTAAACTGAAACTTAATCCAAGAGTAGAGTTATTTTGGTGGAGGTTGAGCAAAAATGCAATTCATACAAATTCTTTTCTCAAGTATAGGAAACTAAGTAATGAAGAGCTATGTGCTAGAGGATGTGAGGAGGTTGAAAGCTATTCATATATTGTCGTTCATTGCAAATATCTTAAAGATGTTATTCTCAAGCTTAGAGATTGGGGCTTTCAAATTCTGATGTTTATTTCATTGGAAGATTGTTTTACTGAATTAAGAAGCTTATCTTGGAAGCATATCAGCATTGTTAAGATGTATTGCACAGTGGTTTGGTTAGCATGGAAAAGCGGGAATGATATGAAACATGGAAAATCTCCTATTTCTTCATTCATGATTGTAGCAAATGTTCTATCAATTGCTATGATTCAAACAAAGCCAATTCTAGATAACTGGGGTGCTAATCTCCTAAGGGAGTCTGACGAAACTTAGCACCCTCCACCTCTAGATTGGATAAAAATTAATGTTGATGCTTCAATATTAAAATCAAATCAAGCTGGAATTGGAGGCATATTTAGAGATTATAAAGGAAGGCTGATCATTGCATTAGGGAAGAATACTAATCATTGGGATGTGGCACAGTTAGAGATGGAGGCGGTAACAGCAATAAGGGAATACATACAAGGTTGGATGATGGAGAGAAAAGGGGCTATCATTGAGAGTGATAATCTTTCGACTTTCGCGCATTCATGTGAGGTCGGCTGCAGCAAAATGAATTTTCGCGCATTCAACTAATGATTGTGTTGTTTGAAGTAATGATATTTCAATGATTTTTTTTTGTTTGTGAAATGAAAACATTTTATTGTTTATAGTTTTTAAATTATTTTTTTTTAAATCATTTATCTTATCATAGTTATTATTATTATTTATTAAAAATAACTTTCAGGTGAAATTTATACAAATAATTTATAAAAATGGTAAATAATTTGTTTTTGGATAAAATAAAAAAGTCCATTTATGGAATACATTATTTTTCATAAAATAAATAAAATGAGTAAATTATATTACATAATTAAAGAAAAGAGTATTAATAATGATAAAGAAATGTAAATAATTAAAAAATTTATTTTAAAAATTATTAAATATTAGAATTATTTAATTTAGTAGATTTTAGTTATTTTAAAAAATCACTAAAACTTGCTTTATTGAAATGTAATAAGACCGAC